GCCTTCGAGGCCTCGGCCCCGGCCTCCTCCCCTTCGCTGGGCGGCCGCTTTGCCACCAGCCTGGAGAAGGCGGAGCAGCGGCAGTTCCTGCTCTCCTCCGGCCGCCTGCTGCTGGCCGGCAGCACCAAGGTGGTGCTCATGGTGGTGGCCGCCAAGAAGCTGGTGAGCCGGGTGCAGATTGCCCCCAAATCCCACTTTGATGAGACCGTGCTCTCCGTGGTGTACACCTCCGAGCCCATCGAGGTCTCCAGGCTGGAGGAGACCTTCAGCAAGCTGCGGGAGTCGGCCAAGAAGGAGATGCTGGAGGTGATGCAGATGGGGGTGGAAGATCTTTTCCAAGAGCACCGACAGACCTGGTCTGACCTGTTCATCTCAGGTGAGGAGAGGGATGCCCAGCCTCCCGAGGGTTGCTTTCGGGGGCAGCTGAAAGCTCAGTGACCTGGTTGCCATAAGCTCTCCAGAGGCCCAGCCCTTCCTGGTGGGCTTCTCTCGTGGGGCAGAGGGCTTGTTTTGGGGTAATCAAACAGGGTGTTCCTGGTTTGGGTCGTGCAGTGCTTTACAAAGGTCGAGTGTTCCCTGCTGCCTTCCCTTCATGGCAGGGACAGAGGAACATTTCTGGTCGTAGCTCTGGCTGTGTGGCTGTCAAGCCTTAAGGAGCTTTACTGATTTGCCCAACATGTCAGGTCTAAGTTGGAAATAGAGGTTACCTCTGTGACTGTATCAAGGACACCAGTTTCTTCATGGAAATGAAGAACTGTCCTATGAAGATGGTGTTTCCTAAGATCTTAGTGGCCTTGCACAAAGGAGTAACTGCCCAGCTAGTGCAGAATTTGCTGGTTTATAGCCAGTAGAGAGAGAGATGTTCCATGGACAAATCCTCCTCGTGGAGTCATGCTGATGGCTCTGTAAGGCTTCTGTATATCAAACTAGCTTTGTCTTTACTGGGAACTCATCTTTCAAATCCAAGTAATGGAGAGAGCATCTGAGAAAACACAAGGCAACGTTTCAGTTCAGTGTTTCCTAGGCAGAGGTGCTGGGATGTCGTGAAGGACGCTGGTGTGTTGAGCAGTGATGCACACCTCTGATCTGCCCGAGGCCACACGCGTGTGTGACCCTCTGACTCTTGCTGGTTCTCTCCCTGCAGGGGTGGAAATGAGGAAGATCACAGATGCACACACGCCGTCCAGCGAGACAGTCAACATGACCCTCTACTACGTGCTGTCGAGCGTGCCCGCTCCTCTGCTGGACCCGCTCGTGGGGGGGGAGGACAGAGAGAGGATGGAAGCCAGCCTGAACTACGCTGACCACTGCTTCAGCGGCCACGCCACCATGCACGCAGAGAACCTGTGGCCAGCCAGGCTGAGCAGTGTCACCCAGGTCTTGCAGCTCTCGGACCTGTGGAAGCTGACTCTGCAGAAACGGGGGTGCAAGGGGCTTGTGGCCGCTGGAGTCCACGGGCTTATGCAGGGAATGGTGCTCAGCTTTGGGGGTCTGCAGTTCACAGAAAACCATCTTCAGTTTCAGGCTGACCCTGACGTGCTTCATAACAGCTATTCCTTACGTGGGATCCATTACAACAAGGACTTGATTAATCTGGCTGTTCTGCTGGACGCCGAGGGAAAGCCCTTCCTGCACGTGTCCGTGAAGTTCCAGGAGAAGCAGGTCAGGCTCTACGCCTGTGAGGCAGGCTGCATGAACGAGCCCCTGGAGCTGACCTCGGAGGCACGGGGCCACACCTTCCCTGTCATGGTGACTCAGCCCATCACCCCACTGCTCTACATATCCACAGACCTGACCCACCTGCAGGACCTGAGACACACACTCCATCTAAAAGCTATTCTGGCTCATGAGGAGCACATGGCCAAGCAATACCCGGGTCTCCCCTTCCTGTTCTGGTTCAGCGTGGCCTCCTTGATCACCTTGTTTCACTTGTTCCTGTTCAAACTCATCTACAATGAGTACTGCGGGCCGGGGGCCAAGCCGCTCTTCAGGACCAAGGTGTAAGGCTGTGCTGCCAATGGCTGCTGCCCACTGGGCGTTGCCAGCCAGATCTCCTGTCAGCTGTGCCTGGGGAGGTTCTGGCTTGGGCTGGGAGGGGCTTCAGAGGGACCTCTTGCAACAGGTGATCTGTGACAGCTTCTTGCAGGAAGTGGGATGAGGGCAGGGGTTGGAGCGGTAGGACCCACAAACAAAAGAGAAATCCAGAGTCTGCCCTGGGACATCTGTAAGGCTGCTGACCCAGGCAGAGGCAGCTCTTCTGTCCTGGTCCCACACAGGGCTGTAGGACGGTGCTTGTTTCTAAGCCGACAGTCAGAGCTGTGTCACGAGGTGATGGGTCTCACTGGGGTGCTTTGGGAGAGCTGCTGGACTTGCCTCTGCTCCTGCCTGGAGCGTGTGGCCTGGCACACGAGAGCACACAACTGCAGGCTGGTGTTCCCGGGTGAAGGTGCTGACCTGTTGGGACTGCTGGTCACAGATTTACAGGTGCTGTGCAGGCCCCCATCAAACTGCATTTATCAACATCATTTGGGGAAGGAGCAGAGTTAGATTTTCTCCCATTCAGTTGAAACATGTAGCTGTGTTAAGAATTCTCAAGTACTGAGTGCTTTTTACTGTGAGTTGGAGCTTCTGACTTCAGGCTCTACTGCATCTTGCTCTGGTGTAAAGACTGAAATTCCTGTGTCAAGTTGCCTTAGAAAACTTACTTGCTAGTAGAAACTTTGCATAGAATGGAGAGCAGTGATTTCTGCTCTTAGTACAGGTACTTTCTGGTTGCTTGTTGGTATGGAGTGGAAGTGAAGGCGAAGACAGGCTTCGCTGTGTGAGCTTGCTGTGGTGGTTAGAGGCACCCCCCTCCTTAGGGCTGAACAGAGTTAAACGTAGCTTGTGTTTAAAAAAAGAGGCAATAAAAAAAAGACATAGTTAACTAGAGCTGTCAGAGGGAAAGTTCTAGCTTTAGATTGACCTGTTCTGCCAGAGTATAAAATGAAATTCCATTGGATAGGAAAGGCTGGGCAGGAGCTGCTGGACTAAACCTGCCAGGCAGTGTATGAATCCAGCTGGTGATTTTCCTGGCTTTGGAGTGATGAGTGCTGGAGATCAGGCCTGACCCCAGGCAGGTCTGGGTGCCTGTCATCCACTGAAGGACAGAGTGGAAGGTGCGTGTGGCCAGACAGGCTCACCTGGGGAGGTCAGGCAGACGTGTGTGTCAGAGACAGCTGCAGTGCCAGGCCTGAGATCGTCACCAGAACCGCAGTGTGGGAGGAGGACACGGCCAGAAGCCACCTCAGCTACTGTGGGTACAGCAGTGCCCTGACACACTGAAACGTGTCCTTGAAGTGATGGAGTTGTCCCTTTTTCACTGCTGCCTGTCTGGTTGCCTTTGTCATCTGCCAGACTTGCCTTCTGCCTTTTACAAAATGACCTGTTGACCATGACGGGGGGTGCCTGTCCCTGACACGCTGGAAGCCAAGAGGCTTCACGGCCGTGCGCTGGGGCTGGTGTAAAACCTCCTCCTTCCTCCTCCCCTCTCCTCCCCCCCCGCGCACCTCCCCCACC